TGGGACATTAAAATTAAGTGATTATAGACAGGATGTGATTATAAACAGGGTGATTATAGACAGGTCTGACTGTAATAGGTTTCTTATAAGAGTAAAATTTATTTGAGAAGATAAAGGTAATTTCAAAATTGTTGACAAATATGAGCCCATTCGTGAATCAAAGAAGGCTGGTAAAAAATTTGTTCCAGGAGGATCCAATATTGTGCTTACAAAGAAGACAAAATCAGGTTTTTAGGTAGGAATTGATGAAAAGTTTTTAGTTAGAAAGGTCTCAATAGAATCTGATATAGATGACCTTACAGCTAATGCAGTCGTCTATGGATTATATAAAATCTGAGAGCCAGATAGTAAACGATTAATGCCAATAAAAGATGGCGCACTTAACTGTGTGGCTCAGCGAGTAATAGAGCATTTTGAAAAAGCAAAAAGAGGGTATAGTCTGACTAGTACACGTAAGCAAAAAATTGGCATATAGGAAAAAAGAATGCGTCAACCTGGTACTCAAGTAGAGGATATAGCAGAATTGAAAAATATACTTAAACAACCAATCATATTACCCATAGAGTTATTTTTAATAGTGGAAAATATTGAACAGGTAGGTTTGAAGAGATAGAGATGGTAGTCCACAATGGTCACGCATTCCCTAGAAACCATTATTTTTCAAGAGATCGAATGGTGAAGTATTATAATGATAATGCATGGATGGCTATCAATAAAGCTCTTTAAGGTCCACAAGCAATATGGCTTATTAGACTTAGACTTGGGAAAGGCGAAACACTGGAAGAAATCCAATCAGTATCACAGTTTGTCTTAGAAGATGATCGTACATTTAGAACATGGATGAAACATACAGATATCATAAAAGCATGTAAGAAATTATTTGAGGATGCAGTAGACTGGCAACTTCAAAAAGGAATAATTAATGAAGAAAGAAAGTGGGAGTCCCTAAAATCACTTAAAATAGTTGAGTTAGCAGAACATGTATTTGGTGCTAATCATGCCAGAGGCAAACTTGCTAACAAGATCAATGATTGGCATCCTACTCTGGCTAGTATACATGAAAATATAAAGCAATCTTGTATTGAACATAGGCATGGAGGACGCTGGAATGCACCTAATTATCAAGTCAGAGATGTTATATCTATAGACATGAAGGAATGCTATCCAGCAAGTATGTGTGATCAAGGAGAGTGTTCACTATGGTTTAAACAGTTTAGGCATCCAATATACCATTTTGTCTGAGTAGTAGTGAATGGAGAATTGCCACAAGACGATGATATAACCAGATTTGCATAGGTAAGAACTTTCAAATTTATCACTAATATTCATCTAGCAATTCCTGTTTGGTATGGAAAACATTTTGCCTGTCAAAGTGAAGAAGGATGTGGGAAAACAAAAGGATGGACACCTATTGTGCTTCTACAATATCTTCTCGAAATAGAAATCCTAGAAAGTGTAACTATAAGAGAAGCTATTATTTCTCTTACCAAGCAAATGAAGGTATAGTTGCCTAAAAATTGGGATATAAGTTGTGTAATCATAGGAAAGTTCACACAGGAAAATAAAGTTGAAGAAAAATGCCTTACCCATTGGGTTATAATAGACGAAGGTGAACTTGATTTCTTGATCCAAGATTGCATTAAAGAGGGAACATATGCAGGTAGTGATAAATGTCCGCTTGGATATATACTCACATACTACAAAGATCATTAGCCTCAATATACATATTTGCGAGCCTCAATGTTAGTTTATACTCATATAAACTTGCTAGAAATGCTCTGAAGATTTAGCCCTAATGAAGTGGTAAGAATCACAACAGATTCTATATATATACGAAGAGAGGTCTTATATAAGATCGAAAATGTATCTGCCTTCTTTAAACAAGCTAAGCAAAAGACTAGCCATTTAGGCGCTTTGCAAGGCAGTCAATCTAAAAATTCAGCAGATACCAGTAAGTTTCAATGTCCACATAAAATTCCTTCTTATGCAATGTGTGAAGCAGGAAGCTATTATTCAAAAGAAGCAGTCAAAGAATTCATCAAAGAAGTGATAGTTCACTACGTGAACAGAAAATCAAGCTATTTGTCATGTAACGAGCATAAGCTATTCGTATGTGCTGTTTGCTTTGAAGAATGGTACTTTCGCTTAGGTTCTTAGAAGAATACTAAATCTAGTAAAGTTGTTACCAAAGAGTCTGAGTCACTAAAAGAGGAAAAGATTCAAGAAATTCAGCCTAACCAATGGCGTGATAAAGGAGAGAAAATCTATGATCCAGATCTAAATGTTGTATACTGGCCAAAAAATAGGCATTAGGAATCAATTAAAAATATTATCGAAAGTACTGCTCTATCAATTCGTGATCCTATTACAAGATCCTGAGTTTCATATCTCAATGGAGGCGGTGATTCTGAGAAGACAACACGTGTAATCTGAATCTTTAAAGATATAAACATGATAGTCTTTACTCATATAAATGCATTGGCTAAAAACTTCTAGAATGATCGTAAGGTAAAAACTCAAACTTGGCATAGCTTCTTTAGGTAGAATAGTGTAGGAGAGTGGACTTCTGAATGCATGGGAGAAAAGAAATTTCCACGAGTTATCATCTGGGATGAAGTATGTACAGTGTCTAAACATATTCTAGAGAAGTTTATCAACTACTTACTAGAGCAAAAATACCAAGTAATTTGCTGTGGAAATGATGCTCAGCCTCTACCATTCTTCGGAGAAATGCCTCATGACTGGTTAAAAGAGTGAGCTGATTACTATGAGGAAGTCTTGACTGATTATTAGGCTAAATGCTCTAAATTACGGCAAAATAATAGAGTGCAGTCAGACCTATTCCATGAAGCACTTTCAGTCAGCGAAAAATAGGAATATCTTGAAACTGAATGGAAGCCATCAGATCGTATCTTATCAGCACATCTACTTTCCCGAAGAATTGCTTCCCAAAAATGCTTAAAACTTCATCAGGCAAAATATCTCAATGTACTGATCCTATTAATCTATAGGCCAAGAGATGGACGCAAACAAAATTACCTTATTCTGATTCCTGACTCATCTGAAAAAAGGGAGTTAGTGAAAAATGATATAATATACTTATCCTTATATACGCTTCCTGACGAATTCTTAAAAGATATGTTAGCAGATAAAAAGGTCATAGATTGGGAACTTGGATATGCTATGACTATTCATACTAGTCAAGGAATAACCCTTAAGGCTCCATAGCGTGTTTGGGTCATTGATGAAAACCTAGCCTGGGATAACCTAATATATTTAGCAGTTAGTTGTGTGAAATATTTAAGCTAACTCATTTAGGTCGAAGTGTCTCCATTACCTCCTGAAATTACCTAAGAGATTGAGGAGACAAAAAAGAAAAGACGGCTAGAGCACAAATTGAGACCATCTATTCAGGAAAAACTTATCAGATATATGGGTCAAGACAAGGAAAAAGGCTGTGAATTTGATTTAACAGTTAACTATATCCTCATGTTAAAACATATTCAAGAAGACAAATGTGCATTATGTCTCATTGAAATGAAATTTGAATGGGATCGGCCAGGAGATATATCCTAGTAGACAGTAGATCAAATTCATAATAATTTGAGGCATATCAAAGGGAATGTATGCCCCACTTGTCTTCTTTGCAACTGAAATCACAGAGTCTAGTTCATGCCAGTGATCTAGATTAGTAATATGATGCATATATGTAATTCAGAGGAGGCAAATCACAGTACGTACATAATTATAAGATTTTTTTTTTCTAATATAATAAATATTTAGTTATTTGTAAAAGATGCCAATCAGATTAATTGAATTATATAAACCCTTCCAATGGTAAATATAGTTTACATAAGAAATATGGCTAAAAAATCGAGGAATAATCAGCGCAAGACTGCAGGTAAGTTTACTACTAATCTCACGCAGTATTTGCTATTATGCAATCCAGCCAAATATGAACATACATATGATAAGGCAACCAGCTTTATTACTGTCAAGAATGTAAGGCAAGATAGGGTAGTAGGCATATTTGATTATTCTAAGCTATGTGAATATCTGGAGTCAGGTGCTCATCATTAATATTATTTTTTCGATTAAAGACTTTCTCGAATAAATTCTTCAAGATGGAAAGCATTTACCCTGCAGATTGATAGATCAAAGGGGCGGGATTGCACCTGAATTTTGACAAGAAGCCTATATAATTGGTCTTAAATTGATATTGGATAGATTGGCATGAGAGGTAGAGTTTGCGCAAAAAGATGATTGTTCTTCTGAGTCAGTCAGTCTGAAACAGTAATCATTAGCTTCGGAAGATTTTTTGCTGGGTTACAAACATCAAGTCAGTTATTTTTTCTTTGTTATAATAAATTAAATATATTAACATAATTATAACGCAAGCCAATGGGCAATATAGTGCAAAATAATCAATCCAATTTAGAGAAGTTCTAATGTTGTATGAAAAAGGAAGAAAAAATACCATATTTAACACAATGTGATAGCTCTGTAACGAATACATTAAAATGATAAAGTTATATGCTATTAGCGTTGGTAAAGATTTAGATGGTATAGACATCAAAGTGAAATTCATTTGTAGATTATCACCTGTCAATGAAAAGCGTATGTATGAATTTAGTGTTAAAAAACCTTTGTTTGAAATATTTGAACATTTACTTAAGCCTCCTACCAATCTAGCTAGTCTAGAGCAGTGATCACTAGCTCAGAAGAATTTGCTGAGCCATGCACAGCGCCTTCAGCTAGATTGTGCGACAAAAATAGGCTGATCATATAATAGGTCTGTGTGACATTTTCACATATTAATTTCACATATATGTTCGCTAACTAGTACCTCTATTTTTTTCTGAACAAATGTGAGAAAAATATGAAAGAGCATCTAGTTGCAATACAGAACTTACCCTAAAAGCAAATAGTACTGACAAAAGCATATATTATGAAAGACTAAGGGACTCATAATTCTGAGATCGTCAGGTGTAAAACTGACTATATGTCTTTCTGGTAGATTTACATGTGAAAAGATATGAAGATTCAGTTTACATGTGCTTTTATAGAGCTCTTGGCATCATACGACAATGCTAATCACTATTCTTATCTTCTTATCTTTTTTTCAGCAAGATATAAAGCATGTAGGAATATGTGGAAGTTCAGCTAACTTTCCGCAAAAAACATTCCCGTAAAAAATAACGTAAAATAAGATATGTACAGTATATGTTCTTTAATGTGAGTGGGCTAAGAAATTTTTTTACTATTGGATTCTTGCATTTAGGAGTCGAAATAGACAATAACAACATTACTATCAATTGTCTTATCATTCCTATAGGCAAACTTATGAATATTCCATGCATTAAAGTAATGCAATCGATTACAATTCACAGAGGTAATCGTTATAGTGATTTTGAGACTGCAATTCAAAGTAGATTAGGGTACCATTTAATAAAATCCCTCTCAAAATTTGTATAATTCAAGCCGGAAACGTTATTGAAATGGAAATGGACATGCATGAGAATTTTATCGATATTTTTACTGAGGAATCTAAAGCAAAGCACTTCCATTTCACTGTTTACCCCAAATAATTTTCTGTATTATGTAGCGATATATTTGCAATTTTTATGTAATGTAGGTTAACTTGGTTCCTCTGGGACCCTTCTGACAAGGTTTTTTATTTTTTAAATAAAGCATATATTATGTTCTTGTCATAAATCTTAAAAAATGTCACGTGTAATGATGTAATATAATCGCCTGACAATTTTGTATTACATTTTAATTACATATATATTGGGCAAATGCATTATGAATCAATACAAAAAAAATCTATCATTTCTCTCCGAGCGCTGAAACCAAAAATATTTTTATATTCATAAACTAGCTTTACCTGTATCAAGTGCATATTTTTTCACAAGTACTAACACATATATATAAAAACTATGTTTTTACAAGCTTCTTCACCTGCCTCAATAACGGAAGAAATTTCTTCTTGAACAATATCGGACGTGGTTAAGGATTTTAATACAGATGAGCTATCGAATATTTAAAGAAAAAAACTTGAAGTTAAAGGAGTCCTACTTCAAAATTTTACATAAGGAAGAAATAGCTGATAGTGATTTTCTTAATACAAGTAAAGAGGAATTTCAAAGTTTTGACATGAAAGCTGGTCCTGCAAAAAGACTTGCAGAATTTATTAAGAGTCTCAGTCAGAAATTACGAAACTATTCCTCACTTAAAACTCTTGATGACTTGAAGGAAATGTTGCGTAGAAATAAGATTAATGGGGAAGATATAACAAGTATTAAGCAATTTACTCCCAATGAGTAATTATTTTTATTTTACACCGCTCTAGAATGGTCTATTATAAATATAGTAATAACTGCTTATTTTTTCTCTACAGTCTTCGAGGAGATTAATGATAATGATAAGACTCTCAATCACTGTATGAAGGATATAATCTTAAAACTTTTAAATGTGAAAATCATGACCGATGCTAACAAGGTAACACGCTGTGAATTTATTTTATCGATTCTCCATGCATCCATCACTATAGCTAAAAAACTTACCTCTCAAGATATATTTATAGTGTTTCAAAAAGACGTTTCCGATGAGAATGAAACAGGCTGAGTAGACTACGCAATCAAAAATCTAGAAGACCTCCTCTACATTACCAAAGAAAAACCATGAAATATTAAGATTGGTTATGCGCAGGTAGGCCTACTATTCACATTTTCACTTTCTAACATATTAGAGATAATAATAATGGTTTATTTCTTAGAATCTGGCGCAACTTGAAAGTGCGTTTCAAACAAATAAGAAAAAACGAACTACAGACCAAGCGTTTAGGAATGACTATTTTGACTATATCTATGGTATTGTGATTACAGATACAGAGTGGCATTTTATCATATATACTCCGGATGGCATCTTCTTCACAAGCGGTAGCGAGCATCAGATTAATCTTACGAAGTCCGCGATTAAAGATAATCCTGAATTACTATAAAGTAACGTAAAAAGGATAATTGGTATTATTGTTGGATTGCTGAATGATCGTGTTAGTGTAAATAATTCTCTGACTAGCAAGAGGGCTAGGATCAAAAAGTTTATTAAAAAATAATATGTATCACGGGGCAGTCCCAAACAATGTATTTATTTTTTGCATTTATTAAATAAATTTTTTACATGATACTGATGAGCTATTTCATAATCACTGTGTGATATTATTGCCATCTTGACTTGCGATCACATAAAGGTCAGAATCCACAATCAAGATATCAAGAAAAAATTACAATAAAAAGTTCTGACCTGAAAACTCACGTGATTTTATGATCGTGAAGATTCTTCACAGTTACATCTATGATGTGATAATTGATAATGCAACAATGATGTTTAGCATTACGAAAATTATATTATAAATCATAATTTACAATAGAAAAATTTGATGCAGTCCTTTTTTAATATACACAGAAAAGTTTGAGAAGACTTGTCTCGTAATACATGATGTAATTTTTTCCTCTGCTAAATTTACTCCAAAATTCTTACAATAGATTCGAAATTACATCTAGTAAGCATAATTGTGAAAATTGTAGTATAAATATAAAAATGAAATGTAGATCATTTACAGTATTTCGAAAAATAACAGAAGCAGACAGCGAAAAAATTAGCATTAGGAGTAATGAGAAATTATGGATTAAAGCTATTTCATAATAAAAGTCTACATATAATAAAATTAACAAATTAATATTCAAGATTTACGCATAATACGTACTGTGTTATGTTATAAATCTAAGCGTCGAATACTTTTCCTTCTCCCTTATTCTCATAAGACTATTTTCTTTTGAATGTTCTAAATATTTCTCTTGGTAAGATAAAGTAAATACGGACATCAAAATTTTCATCCAAGATATCCTTTATCGCTCTCAATCCATCTTGCTTTATACTATGCTTCCTGGAAACGGTAACTTGAAATAGATTATTTGTATGAGCATAACTATCTATGCTTTCAAAAATCTTCGAAGTTGGTCGGAAATATTTTACTTGTCCTTGTATCTCCCTGATATTATCAAAAAAATTTTCTTCTAGAAAATCAAACTTATGAATAGATTCAGATCCTGTACCATCATCTGTGAATTCACGTACTTGAAAGTCCCCTCCTTGACGAATTATCGTATATGCGACCATTTCAAATAACATTTCACAAAAGCCCCCCAATTGCGTTATGTCCTTTAAATTATTGATAAAATCAAATAGTTCCTTTTTATGATTTAATTGTAATTGTTCTAAGCATCTATCTGCTACATATTTTGATGCAAAGAAGCAGGTTAACGTTATATATAGTGAAAATTTACCCATATTTTCAATGTTGGTATATATGTGGATTAATTTATGAGTATACTCATCACCTGCAAGGACTTGTCCTTGGTGATAGAGTATTTCTGATTTAACTGTTTTAATTGCTTTTTCGACAGCCATTTCAATATCTTCCAGTGACATTGTAAAAATCCATTTTGCAATCCCACCGCATATTTTAAACTTATCTTTTAAGAATTCTAGAGTCAATTTTCCTTTAAATAGATAGTTCCAACAGTCTTTAAACTCATATTCATTTCACGTAAGCATGAATAGTTCTCTGCATCACTGCTTTGCAAAATCTCTAATTATTGCTTTCTTTGGTGAGCTCACTATAATTAACTTTCTATTTGAAAAATCATGACCCACTTGGTCTCTTTTTTCGTCGATTATACATCAGACATTCTCTTCTTCTGCTATTTGTCTGTATTGTATCTTGTCACGTATATATCACCTAAAGAATAAATCAACACCGCAACAGTTTTATAGTCTAACAAAACTTTTTTATTCCCTTTAAGGAGCACTACTAGCATTAACCTTTCAAAGAGTATTTTTCTGATACCTGGATTCCGGTGATGAGATATCACTTGAATTTTGTATCTTCTAATATAAAATTACATAAATGCTTGTAGCACTCTCAATTATAAATATTTATATCTCTATCATCCTCAGGCAATCCTAGAATTTTGATCTTCTTGCCTGTTGTTTTGATCTCTAGTAAGCTATCGATTAAATTTCGAAACCTTATATTATCTGGAAAAGATACAAGTCAAGTTAGAATTTTTTTATCCTTTAATAAAGGTCAACATTAAAGAAAGATACCTTATTGCCATCATTTTTTGATCCTATTATCCTCCTCGCTCTCGCCTACCATTATCCTTTTCTCTAATCAAATAAAAAAATATGTGAGATAACATGAATTTCTTGTTCAAAAGGTAAACCCATTAAGAGACACTTACCAGTGGTGGCAGGCAAAGGTGGCGGTTGAACGATGATGCTTATTTTTGTAGATACTTCTTTCGAAAGATGTTCTAGTTCATTAAATAATCAATAGAATTTTAAATGGATTTAACTCTTCGCCTCTGAATTCTTTTTTAACATCATTAGCATGTATTTCAGTTTCTAGATTCATATCATTGGTAGAAATTTGCACCTTCCATAGGATCAGTTGGTCTGCATCTGCTTTAATATCATTGAAATGATTCTCTTTGTGCTTTCGAATGATTTCTCTGAATTGGAAAACTTTCATTTTCTTATCGATAGTAACTAGAGTAGATTTCCTGATAGCATTTCTAAGAACGATGAAGTATAATATTATATAGGTATATCTGAAATGAAAACAAGAATGAGTTATTGAAAAAAAAGAGAATTATTGAAAAAGTTTGTGCACGCAGACGTGCTATATATATATCATGTATTGATAATTTTGAGTCATTACCTTGATACAATGCGTCATACGTTATCACATATCTTTTTCCATGATGATCATTTTTGATCGAACTATTTGATTGATTTGACATTTTATTATGTAATCTGTAGCACACCTTATGATGAAATACGACAGTAAAATTACTCTTAGTTGACCTCTAACCCTTAAATAACAGGCCAGTTCATGGCCATTCGATCAGCATTTTGCGCAAATTTTTATTACAAATAAGATGAAAAATTTTTCATCAGGACAAACAATTTGGATATTTATATGAAATTTTCATCGATCCCTGTATTTGACTAAAAAAATAAACTCTGTGCAATGTCACGTATCAACTTTTTTTTTACTGACTATAAGCCGTAATATTATTTTCTCTGTGTTTAACATTTCGCAGTTTGAAAAAAGCGTTGACGAAAAGCTCTGAACAAGACATTACGCAATTCAAGTATAAATATTTCGGTTGTGGCTGTATTTGCAAGAAAGTGACTCATTGCTTGCAAAGCTAATATCCATTTTTTTGTTTAGAACTTTTAAGGACTTTATTAGACAGAGAGCATAAACTTTTGGTGAGTTTTACTAAGGTCAACACTGTTAATCTATTTCAGACTCCGCATGTTCTATGCTTAACTAATGACCATTTTTGTTTTGTCCAGAATATCGATGATTGAGGCAAATGAAACCAGAATATTAGGATAATGTATTAGTATAGGTTGTAAAGACAAACGAAAAACTGGTATAGCAGGCATTAGTATAGAAACATTTTACTTTGTAAAATGAAATTACAACATGTATCATATGCATCTATTAATAAAAATTTTTTTCTTGGCAAAAGTGATCAGTGTGAAGAATCTTCACGTGCACATAATTTTTTTTTTATTTTGAATGCTTATGTATAGTGTATAATTTTATAGATCATATCAACAGAGCTTGAATTATTGAGACAACGCATTAGCGAGTTTGAGACTAAGAACACCAAGCTTGAGGCTAAGAAAGCTGAGATTGAGGCTAGGAATATCGAGCTTCTAAAGCAGGTTATAGATGAAAATGCTAAGCGTTGTCAACAGAGCAATTAACCAGTCATAATGAAGTCACGTGGATGACGCAGTATGATGATCTCTTAATTCAGAATTCTGAAAATACTGAGAATTCTGCGAATTCTGGAAATACAGAGGATCTGCGTAACTCTAAAGATCTTCCAAATACTGATAATAATCATAATTAAATGAAGTCTAAGAATATTTGGTGTTATACGTATTTTTAATATTCTAAATTTTATTATTAT